GTATACAACCGTTTGACAGTCAACAGGCTGTCCTCCCACCTCTTGAGAAACTATTTCATTTTGGCCTATTTCCAGCATCATGGTCAAACAAAAAGGTTGTGCCTATGGTAAAAAGTGGAATGCTGGTAAAGTTTATTGAAATCTTGCTAAAACTTCTTCCGCCAGTCACAGCTGCGAAGAACGTGACGGACATGTTGTCAGTAATTTATGTTGCCTTGGCGCTTGATCAAAAAGCTGTAAGCCCAGGTGCTGAAAACTTCAATGATACAATTTATGGAATTCAGCCAGCTATTAATGCACAAGAAGCAAATGAACTTTGCAAGTACGGTTTCTCTACAATGCTTAAAACTTTGATCTCAAGACAGGTGAGCGGACTTGGGTTAAGGAAACCAAGGTTTTGATGATTCAGCTGCTTGATTCGTTAGTTGCAGTGCCAGTTGCTTGCTATCATTTAGAGAAAACAGGCGAGTGGGAAGGAGTTAGGGAGCGCATGAAAGAGTTAATTTTTGTACTCGTTGTCTGGTACATGCAGTTACGTCAGGAAATCCACAGAATTGAAAAGCGATGTGTAAAGATTGCACCAAGAGTAGATTAGTGTGTGGGATTCACAAAGACATCTACGATACTTGGAAACCAGATTCAAGACTGTGCGAAAGATGTGCCAAAGAAATTATCAGCAAACACAAATCACCTGTTGCCGATTTAAAACAATGCTTTCTTGTTCAGACATGGATCCATCGTATGAAAAGTATGGCAAAAGTGTCTCAAAAGATTTCACAGAGTCATTCAATAGCAATCATGATGATTCAGATGTCATTCACATTCATGATATTGCCCATAACATAAAAAATGCAGAAGCCTCTCTGGAAAGATGGACTCATTTTGACGGAGAAACTGTTTACAACAGCTCCGACATCACCGTATGGATGGCAAATCTTGATGGAGAACATGATCAATGGTTAAATAATGGTACTTCACATTGTGCAGTTCTTCAATTTGACAAGCAAATTGACGAGTTGTCTTTGCAAAGGATAAGTTCACAAGTGATCGACTCTTGCAAAGAAGTCGGTCAGCAAATAAAAACTGAGGTCTCTGAAATAAGAAGGATATGGTTTGCTGATTCTCATGAGAACATTGGTAAGCCATTATTCATAGCAGTCAGTGGAAGAGGCATTATATTTGTTACTGACGATTACAGCCAATGTCTTTTCTTTTACTGACAATCGACGTTACCAAGAAAGCTCACATATGTTGGCAAGGGAACCAAAAAATACGGAAAACGATCCGATTCCTCAGCAATATGTTGGATTTGACAGGTTGCTCTGGCACGTATCTTCTTGCTGCTGATCTTGGATTCAAGTCTTCAATTCGAGTTTTCCAGGGAAGCATGATGCTACGAAATCAAAGAAAACTGCTGCCAATAAGTAAACTATGTTCTTTGCCAAACATGGGTCTTGTCGTTAGGACATTGACAGTTCAAAAGAAGCCAAGCCTAGTGCCATGTGGAATAAGTGAGATTGTTTCAAGCAATCTCTTGATTGTTACTGATCCAGTAAATGAAACAGTTGAAGTTCTTGATATGTCAAGTGATTGCTCCACCAGAATGTGCATTTCCAAAATCAATTCGAATTTGTTTGAGCATCCATTTGACTGTATATCAGTTGCTCCTGACAAAATTGCAATAACCTATCTGTCTAAAGATGATGGGAAAGTCCACATAATTCATGCCAACAAAAAGTGCATTGCCTATTCTTTGGAGGAGCTGACCTGCCGGTTCCTGCTGGCCTGTGCATGCTTGGAAATAGAGTGATGATATCAGATAGAGAGCAACATTGCATATATTTATTTGACATTCCTCCTAAAAATCTTGCATTATTCTTAGGCACAGCTGGTGAAAGTGGGTTTGACAATGGTCCAGTGTCAAAAGCAAGATTTTCAGGACCAGTAGGGTGGTGCAGTCGTGGTCTTGTGCTGTATTTTGCAGAAAATCCCAGAGAAACTCAAGGAGCTCTCAGTGTAGCTTCGCCACTTTCAGAAAAGTAAGATTCAAATCCTTCTGGAGAAACATTGCAGGATGTTTCAGAATGATTTCACGAAGGGAGAAAGTGGCCCTTAAAAAAGACTTATCGTTTGAGCAGAAGATTTGGAATGTCAAGGAGGGCCTAGAAAGGTTACAGCAACCAGCACAACAGCTGTCAGAATTAATTGCAAAGATCAGGGATCTGACAAAAAGAAATCGACTAGACATCACGGATGGATCAGTGGCTTCCCAGACCGCTGAGGCAGTGTATGTTGCCCTTCTGTGTGCAATGCGTTACATCAAAGATTATTTCACATACATTGGACAGGGGGAACTAATCGAGAAGATACAATTAAAATGTCTCACCACAGGATTAGTTGAGTGCTTATTTGGCCATATGACAGAAAACCTTCAAGGCAACAACATCAGGTACCTTGAAATGTTGCATCATCTTACAAACGATGCTTTCACCTTACTGCTTCCTTATGTCATTTCAAAGGAAACTGGCATTTCAGTTAGAAGTGAAAAGGAACGAGGAGGTGCAGAAACATATTCATATTCACAGGATGAACTTGATATAGGCCATACTTAATTACCTTGGAGATTTCTTTCTGTAAAGAAACAAGACATGTTTACTGTTGAAGATTTTCGTAAATGTAGAAAAGCAAATCTTGAAGGAGGGGAGACAAGGAAGTCATGTTTTTGCATCTGGACTAAGGAGGGTGTAATGGACTACATGGACTTGACATCAAAAGATAATATTGACAACGAAACTAGTGCGGCACTGCAAGAGATTGCAACTGCATTGAAGTCTAGGCCGATGAGAAGTCTTCGAGGCTTTAGCAAACGAAGATTTGGTACAGCTCCAACGATTCTGGGTACATATGGTTTAAGAAAGGATCTTGAAAGTGTTAATGGAACAATACACTCAATACAAAGTGAACAATATCTTGCAGGTGATGTAACATTGCACGACAATGAAGAATTTGCCCTTGATTTGGGAGAGTTTATCATTTTTAGAGGCTCAGACGGGTATCCATTTAACATACTGCAGTTGGTAAAGAGCTATCGAGGAGATGAATTGAATCGAAAAAGATTAAAGGCAATTTTTTGACGCAAGACCAAGTCGAAGAAAACAGTTCAGATGTCTTTTACAAGGTGGATCCCCAATGGAAAGGGTGCTCTATGTCCTTTCCACATGTATGAGGAAGATCAAATTTTCGCAGTAGAGCTGTCTCTTTGTCTGCCGACTTTGAATGAAAGTCCAGATACAGTAAGGTATAGGATGGAAGGAGAGATTTATAGTTTAATTCAACCACTTCCTGAAAAATTTGAAAAAACATTACAGCAAGACATGGAGCTACCAGATGGAGATGTTCTCGAAGACATATCAGATGTATTTGGAAACTTTGAAACAGGAACGCAGTTGACCTATACCGACCAAAGAGAGAGGACAGGTCGCGGTAACTTTTACGCAACAGTGATGAATGCTCTTTTAAACTGATTTTATGGAAAACGGGAGCTATAACGCAAAAAGGGAGTGTAAGTCTCAATTTTCTAGTTGTGTAGGTTGCCATCTGCCATCAGTTGGACTCGCCATCCAGGAACGCAAAAACAGGTGTCCCTATTTGTCCACAGTGCTAATATTATCATATATGGGTCAGATGTTTCAGGTATAGATAACAGTAGCTTGCCTGCAGTCTTCCTTTTGTGGAAAATAGAAATACGAGAAAATCGAAAGAATACGCATCAGTGAACAATTCTCTTAATTTGATTTTGAAAAAGAAAGAATGCACGCAGTCTAAGATAGCAGTCACTTAAAACTTGCCTTGTCCAAGTTTTTATCAAAGGGCCCCGAAAATTTCTCACCGGGGCACTTAGATTGTAAATAAACATGATCATAAACAAACGGAGTATCATAAAAAAACATGATCATTCTCTTCCTGAAATTTTCTCCTGTAGCTCTGTATTATCCAGTAAACGATTAGCGTTATATTGTCACTAGATTGCAATGTTAATCGTATCATTGTCAATAATTCTGTATTTTAACTATTTGTCTGTAACTAGTATCCTGTTCCCTAACTCTTTTCGTAAAATTCTGAAAACAAAAATTATCATGTAAAGTGTTGTAGTCAAGGTGGACCTCTGCACAAAAGGGGCAGTTGTCTCCCTTTAAATTGTTACGTATAAACTAAATGATCATGATTGTTACGCCCTGTCCCTACTGTGTCATCAGAGGGTAGGAAATTTAAAAAAATAAATAAAAAAAGTATCTGTTCTTATCACCTTGATATCTGATATGTGCCCAAGGGCGCTCAAATATCAAACTGATTTTTGGAACTGGCTTGTCGGCATGAGGCTTGCCTCACTGTGAGCACGGGTTGCCCTGGCATTGTAGTACAGCCATGGGTGGTCCAGCCCCTTTTCATCAATTGGCAATGATTTTCATCTTTTCACAGTTGCATTCATTCATATCCATATTGTTGATATGACTGGCTAACTGCAATGTTAACTAGGAGCTAACATTGTATTTAGTTGGTTACTTTTGCATGAAAGTAGTTCAAACCTTGTACTAGACATCAACACAGCCTTGTACTGCAAAGCCTTCAACGTGTTGTGTTCTTGCGTTTTCTGTTCTGTTTTCTGTTGTTGCTTTTCTGCCTGCCTGTTTAGTAGTCAGTCACTTCTAGCCATCCTCTTTTGTGTGCTAATAATTAATGGCACATTTTCAATTTCAGACGACTGCTTGCTGACTCAAGACTTATGAAACAAGATTAGTTTTTCTTCACAAAAGGGATGGTGAGTACATCAGTTTTATATTTCAGTATATTTCAGTACTTGATCATCTTCCCCATCAGACTGAACATTCTTCACTCAATATTCAACATATCGATCTATTCAGAGATCTTCTGATGGCCTTAACACATGTGTCAGCTTGTTTCTGCAATCGCCAAGTTGTCAATCGCAACACTAACAGTTCATACTTACCTGGCGGGGAAGACAACTTAATCAAGAAGGCGTTTCTTCGAGGGTGAGGCCTTTCCATTGCAGTTTGGCTGGGCTGACTCCTGCGATTACCCCCAACTTGGGTAGCTCGACTGTACAATTTCTGGTAGTAGGGACCTGTGTTTGCGCTAGTCTCACAATTGTATAAAGAATCCAGCCAACCCAAGCAGAATCCCACAAGCAGTTCCTCAAAAAAGACCCTCCGTTGCGCCTTCTTGATCACTCACAATATCACAATAGAGGTAGATTGTCATAGAAAGACTTGTCATTGTTTGTTTGCTTGCCTTTGTCTGCCGTAACCTGGCTCACCGTCTGCCTTAGTAATGTTGCCTTAAATGTGATGCTTTCAGACAGGGCAATCATCGTTTCTGAAATGTTTCGGCTACAGCATGCCTATTTTGTAGCATTTGATAAAAAAGGTGAAATTAAAAGAAGTTCAACATTGAAAAAATCTTTCTGTCGAAACTCTTCTATGTGCTGCTAACAATATATATACTTTGCAACTTTCAGAGCAGCATTTTCCCAACTGAGTGCCCACCTTCCTATATTAACCTCAATGAATTAGTTTCTATCAGGTGGTCATCTTTTACTCTGCACTACATAATGTAATAAAAGTTTATCTATAATTATACTAAATATCAATAATCAAGAAGAAATGATAAGCGCTACATAGTGTCAGTTAGCATTTGAGAATTAGAAACTTGGTAAAATCAATTGACAGAGTGAAAGTAAGAACAATTCAGGTAAAATTGAGGCAAGGAGAACTGTATTATTGAAAGAAGATTGTTGGGCCTGTGGAAATCTGCATGGCCTATTTTCACAATTCCAAATCAAATACTTTTTGTAAAATCATTCTAATAGCCATTTCCAGGGATGATTGCACAACAGAGTTTTGTTTTTTATTTCCCTTACACAGTTTCATGGTTTTCTTCTAATTTTTGTATTTTGGTTGCTTAGTGGCAAGATGCTTTTTGGTTGCTTAGCAGGTTTGATATCCATGTCAAGAACTCAAACTTACAGCTAAGCTGACTGTTACTGAGGATGAGCTGCCTGCACTTGAAGGGTTATTCCCCCCCTCCCCCACAAATACCCATTCTGAAGATTATTTCACTTAATTTCGGACAAAATCTTGAATGTTTCTGCAATTTTTGCAACATTAAATTCAAAATATTCATTTTCCTGACGTAAGCTTTAAGAAGGTGGAGGCTTTCAGGGATTGTTCAATTTTCAATAATTACATCACAGGCCAATTGTGAAAGTGCCTTCAATGGAGAACAAAGTGACTTGTAAGAAAAAACAATCACAAAAGCATTTTGATTCAAGGAATTCAAAAAACCATCACTCATCTCTTTTCATTCGAGCAACTATGGTGAACCTTTCCTTCAATTATGAACTCTTCGGGTTCGCCACTCGAGTAATGCACAAGTGGTTATATGCAAAGTTTCATCTTTCTTAGAATCATATCATCAGTCATTGACAGAATGCAGTCATAGAACATCTTCCATCCTCTCATCTTATCAATTTATCCCGTTCTCCAATCCAACCGCTACGAGGGAAGCTGAAAGTTAAGTTTAATTTTTTTCCAATGATAGTCAAGTGGTTTTTTTGCCCCTTGGGTCACTGGAAGGCTTGTTCATGAATAGATAGTAAGAGTAAGCACGACAACATGGAGCAACAGCCATAATTTCTCCAATAGAAAGCCTTTCCCCGCTGTCACAGCCCCATGCTGCAGCGATGCTGCTGAGTGGCCATATGAAGCCAAATAACCCATTCACTAACTCACTCACTCACTCACCTCGACGACGTTCTTCAACATCCACAGATTGATTACTTTGCTACTGGAGTGAAAGAGCAGGCAGGCAACAGGCAAAAAGGCTGAGCGCTCCACAAGCAATGAGCTAGACTTGTGGAAAGTCTGAACTGAAGACATGAGACTAGGTATCCCTTCTCCGCCTTTTGGCTAAGATCTGATACCCATAAGTGCTGCCCCAACAAGTAGAGCATCCATAAAACTACTGAGGGTTAAATGGGGCCGAGAAGCCTGCCCCAAGGGGTGCTATGCCCCTTGGTCGCAAAGATCAAGATCTTTATATTGAGAAAGTGGCACTAAGCCAAGATTCGGATTCTTATATTTGGCCAGAGGAGGAAGCAGAATTGCTACGCCAGCACAAGTCCCAAAGGCGACAGTAGACAAATCGCCGCCTAAGCGCTCCTGTGCATCCGTCGTAAGGAACCCACCAGAAAAAAGTTACACCGCCCAAGCAGCTGCAGCTACAGTCCTAAATATATATGTTCGCAGGTCAGGTGAAGTAAGAGATAACCCACCAAACGGACGACATTGCCCCAGGTCAGTATGCTTACATATACCTAATGCCCACATCATTCCATCTGCTCTGATAAAAAGGCTCACCGAAGCCGGAATCAAGCCAAGCCACCTCCAAAGGCTACCTAATGGAGACCTGAAGATAACATTCCACACATTGGAGGATAAGGTACATTTTGTTTATCTCCCGTATGTACATCTGCCAAGGAGAAATTGGGAGCCAGGCATGGAAAATCCACCACCAATGGACACCACATTGACCAATGCTCGATGCTGATACTGCCTTGACTCCTGTGGCTATCTCGGACACCCAGGAATCCAAACAGAGGAAGCTCCATTGGGTCAAGAGGATAGAGAAATTGTGGCCGCTGAAGGGTCATGCAGTACTGAACTATCACCAGGATGTTATGACAAAACCGAACATGCTACGATGGAGTGGTTGCTGACCCAGCTTTAGAAGAGACAGCTGTTACCCGCGTCCACTCATCGTCAGATAATGGCATGGGTACTGAGAATCGTCAAGTCGCAGCTCCCAAGAAGTTGGCTAGCACACCAGACCTCTTCTCGCAACTTGAATATGGCCAATCAGTGAAGAACTGGTATGAAACATCTTCACCAAATGGTATGTCCCCCTCTTCTACCTTTTCTTCCCCTTTACCTCTTTCTACCCAAGACTCTGTTTGCTGCTGTCGCCCCAGTGGCCTCTAAGAGGTCCTTTCAGGACAATAATGTCTCTCACATTTCTGCCGTCCGAAGGCCCTCTATCAAAAAGAGGCCAAAAGGTCGTTTAGCTCGGCAAACCACCCCTTCTTAATGACCAGTGATTTTGGTGAGTGATGGCAGGCATCGATATATTATCAATAAACGTCCATGGCCTTTTTTCAAACGCTGCCCCACACATCAGGGGGGGGGGAGAGTTTCAACAATCATTGGAGGTGATTTTAATTGTATCTCAAATATATTTCTTGACAAACAAAGTGGTGACAGCCAAGCAGGTGCCACTGCCTTAGATGCCCTGACCGATCTTTTAAAAGCCTTTAGCCTTATTGATGTTTTTCGTTCAATGCATCCATCTGCACCCAAGTTTACCTGGACCAACTCAAAAGTTTCATCTCGGGTAGATAAGTTCTATGTTTCCCCTGACATTTTAGCAAACACAAAACACTGTGAGATAACAGTGTTTCTCTTTTCTGATCATGATTTTAAGAAGGGGTGGTAGCTCGGCAAACCACCCCTTCTTAATGACCAGTGATTTTGGTGAGTGATGGCAGGCATCGATATATTATCAATAAACGTCCATGGACTTAGGGACCCTGTAAAGTGCTCCAATGTAGTCGACTGGCTCAAAACTAGGAGGGAATACATTGTTTTTTTACAGGAAACTTTCTTCTCTGAGCCTGATGACACCAACTTTCTCAAATCGATCTGGAAAGGATCTATTTTTTCATCCTTTGAAGGAAAGCATAGCAGAGGGGTCACTACCCTAATTAAAGAGTCTTTATTCGCCAAAAGGCCCAGAGTCACTCATGATAACTGGGACACCAACGACTAAAATCAACTGGGACACCAACGTGGGTCAGCGCTGTCTTAGACACCAACTACTAAAATCTTCAGCTTTTAAATATCTATGCCCCATGCCCTATAGGCGAAAATGCCGCCTTTTTTCAAACGCTGCCCCACACATCAGGGGGGGGGGGAGAGTTTCAACAATCATTGGAGGTGATTTTAATTGTATCTCAAGTATATTTCTTGACAAACAAAGTGGTGACAGCCAAGCAGGTGCCACTGCCTTAGATGCCCTGACCGATCTTTTAAAAGCCTTTAGCCTTATTGATGTTTTTCGTTCAATGCATCCATCTGCACCCAAGTTTACCTGGACCAACTCAAAAGTTTCATCTCGGGTAGATAAGTTCTATGTTTCCCCTGACATTTTAGCAAACACAAAACACTGTGAGATAACAGTGTTTCTCTTTTCTGATCATGATAGCCCCTTTTTGTCCTTCAAATTGCCAAATTCGCCACCTTGTGGCAAAGGTACCTGGAAATTTAATACCAGTCTCCTAGAAAATGAAGAGTTTACCTGTAACATGAAAAACTTTCTGAAATATTGGGTTTCTCAAAAAAAAGATTTTGCAGGCAAACTACATATTTGGTGGGATATAGGCAAAAAGAAAATAAGAAACCGATGCAAAAAGTTTTCAAACCGCATAGCTAAGGCAAAGAGAGAAAAACGCACAGCCCTAAAAGACCTAACAACATTAATAGTGCACGTATCAGAGCAAAGGCACTTGAATACCAATCAAATGAGAAATCTTCACGCTATTTTTTCAGTCTTGAGAGCTCACGTCAATCAAAAAAGTTATTCGAAAGTTGAAAACCCCAGATGGTAGAGTATTACAGGATAGTAGGGACCTGCTTAGCTGCATTGCTAACTTCTACGAGTCCTTCTATTCCCCCGAACCTGTCAACATTGAAAAAAAGAATACTCTTTTGAATACTATTGACCAATTTATTCCCGAAAATGAAATCACCAATATGAAATCAAACAATTGCCTGGCTCGGATGGCTTACCAGCTGAATTCTATTGTTTCTTTTGGATGAACTAGGTTCAGCCTTAGTAGATGTGCTAAACTTTTGTTTCAATATGGCCTTCTCACAGAATCCATGCGTTTAGCCATAATTTCCCTCTTGTACAAAAAGAAAGACATCAAACTTCTTAAAAATTGGAGACCAATTTCCCTACTTAACGTTGATTACAAAATAGCCTCGAAAGCTTTTGCAAGTAGACTGTAACTGATACTACCATCCATCTTAA